ATATATATGTCGTATGTAAGTATGCACGCACGCATAAATAAAGACTATATATATATAATATATATATATATATATAATATATATATATATATATATATATATGTTGTATGTATATATGCATGTATATATATACATATATATATATATATATATATATATATATATATCTATATATATATGTATGTATGTATGTATGTATGTATATATATATATATATATATATGTATATATATATATATATATGTTTGTGTGTGTGTGTGTTTTCTTTTGTGTGTTTGTGTGTGTGTGGGTGGGTGTGGGTGTGTGAATGTGTGTGTGTGTGTATGTGTATGTATGTATGTATGTATGAATGAATATATATATATATATATACATATATATATATACATACATACATATATATATATATATATATATATATATATATATATATATATATATATAGCGTGTGTGAGTATTTATCATATAATCTTTAAAAGTTTAGCTACTCATTGGCATACCATTTTGTACTAAACGGGCAGCAAACATACCCTCGCAATAACACCACCACTACACTTTTAATTTCTCTATCGGCAGCGACTGAAACACGTGTACAGCTATATCGACGCGGGTGATCTGGCCAATTTCTTAGACATGCTGAACAAACGTTCGAACGGAGTGGTGAGTGTACAAGATACCACATATGTGGGGAATGATACAGAATATTCATATGTTTGGTGTGTGGTTTTCGTAAACACGTCTTGAGCGTGTATTCTTTCCATCTTGCTTCTGTTGGAAAGCTCTATAGATTTGTAACTTAGCACAATACAGGTAGCCTGAACTCGCACGGGTAAGTGCATAACTTGAATTATGTATACATGTCCAAGTGGATGCACATGTATCGGCGCATTTACTAGTGCCTCTGAATATCTAAGCCTATCATCGAGAAGAGCAAATCCTTTCTGCGCAATTAACTGTGTTGGCCAAGGCGAGCCTGCGTATGTGTGTATTCCATTGGTGGCTGGAATGTGTATGTAATTGTTCTCTATCGAGGGTCATATCCCACTTCTGAGACTCGATTGAAAACGAATGAGAAATGGGCATTTGTCGGTCACTACTACGTTCGTGTGGGTGTAGCTCGGTATGTGAGATTTCAACTCAGTACAACAGTGCGTATGTGCATACTTTGTCAATTGCACGTACATTTGCGCTACGATCGCGTCTGTCAATACCGCAATATATGTCCCATGTTTTTTGCACATGAGCCTTCATTGCTACGAGCATATACACGGATTAGCGCCTTTCTATTTTCATGCGCAGGTGTATTTGCGTCTACGCGAGTAGGTGTGATCATTCGTTTCGCAAGTGTTCGAGCTGTTCCTGTCAGTTCTGTGATCACCATACTTATTCTCAACGCATTCTCCACAACAAACCTTTTGGCCTTTTACGTACTCCCAGCGCGAAGCAAGGAGGACTAAGGTCGCCAAAGAGGAATTCTCAGACTATTGTACAGCACTCTTCGGCGCCCTCTTCCCTTTGTACTTTGCTCTCCTGACCAATGAGTATCCAGGTATGTTATTTTCTCAGGGCCAGTTCAGGTGACTAAGCTCATAGAATCACATATGCCGACATTCATAGTGCATACTTACAGTGCACAGAAGATAGACACAAGCGAGCATTCAAGTGCTCTGATATGTAGCGATTTCAATACCGATAGCTTCCGAGCTCCCTTCACAATTTCGATAGTGTATACCATCCACTTTAATGATAACAACCACCCAAATAGTCACCCTCTACAGAAGAGCGCTATTTCTTGCATGATGATTCTGCCCTGAAAGAACTTTTAAACACTACAAACCGTCCATACGCCGTATTAGACCTCACCACACTCTTTGCCCAACTGAGATGAATGCGTGCAATTGTCCCGACTATCTCCATTTCTCCATCTTCCATCCACAGAGACCAAAGAGCATCTACGAAATATGCTGGAGGCCATTGGATCAGCCACTATCTCTATTCAAAGTGTCCTAGACAACACCGACAGCACTGCACGCTTAGTACTGTTTAGAAATATGGTATGCCACTTCATTGTAAGCAGATGTAGGAGTACGGGTGGCATTGATCAAGGCATGTGCGAGGATATGACTGCCAGAATGGAAGTTAAACTAAATGTGCGTGCGAAAGAAACGAATTTAGACACTCCTATAAAGCGTGCTTATAGACCAGATGGTACTACGCTGACACCCATCAGAGGTAGTATGCAGAAGACTCCTGCAAGTGTGGCGAAAAATAGGTTGATGTGTGATGATTTTGATCTACTAATGGATATGGATATCAACAATCTCGCCGAGGATGACCGTAGTGCACATCCCTTAGCCACAGCCACCCCAGTGCGAGATGCACAAAAGTTAGGTTCGGACAGTGGGATTCATAAGTCAACACCTAATATTAGCCCGCCTCAAACTGGCACTATTCTCTTTGTGGGTTCCGATGGAGTCTCCATGCCGCTACCACGCTTGAAACGCAAAAATTACGACTTCTGTCTTACTACGAACGCGAATCTAACAGAGGTGGCAGCGGACATACGGCTGAAAAAGATGGAGGAAGACGGGGTAGAGGTGAAGCCATTGGTGGATAACACTGAGGCAGATGTCAAGCACGTGCGCTTAAAAGCTCACGAATACATTTCGCGATCGTTCTTCACGGGCACGTGGTTTGATATCAAACCTGATGGCGTTGAATTTCCTCGTTATCCCTTAGTGACAGAGGAACTATGTCTCGACCCGTACCTCTTATTCCGTGCTGTATGGGAACACCATCTGCGCGAAGGTGTGCACTTCTCCACCGCGTTGTTGCGGTGGGACTTTGGCACGCTGGCCACCAGGCATGGCTTGGTGACTGTAGATACCAATGCAGAGCATCTGATGTTCATGTATTACATGCGGTATCTGAGACCGATATTCGATTCCCTGTTTAGTCAAAAGTAAATAAAGCCCGGCCCACATGTCGACAATGAGAGCTCTCTATATTTGATCAACTCAGTGTTTTATCGTGATATAAATCGACACCTTTCATATTTTTCACATAATATTTGATACATCGTTGTCTATTTGTCACACTATACATGATGCATCGCTGAGAGACCACAGCCTCTTGCCGATAGCTTGCCGCAAACCTAAAATCACACACCGAAATATATTTTCCACGTCGACAGCGTTGCCCAGCGTACTAAAAATAAAGCACGTACATTTGATTCCGATCAAAGAAGAAATCGGATATGGAATCGAATACAATATAGACATCCGCCACTGTGCACCCCAAAATGGGCATTCAAATCGCAACAGTGCGTTCTCAGATATACGCGGGGATTTCAATAAACTCCCAATACGTTTTTTAATTGAATCCACCTGTATTGATCGGTTTGCTAGGCTTCAAATTTACCTACTATGCAACCACAGCCTGGCCTCTTGCAGCGTGCCGAATATCAGGCACGCTCGATCGACGTGTCAATGGTCGTATAGTGTTGACTTCCAGAGGTTTTGGTACAGCAATCCGGTAGGGAGATCTGGGAACCTTGGAATCGGTTGAGATTCTTTGTTCGCATGCATCACGCATAAACTCGCCCCCAACTAATGAGTGACCATTATTTAGGGTTTCACAGTCAACGCTGTCGGTGGGCGCTTGACTCCTATTACTTGAAGTACCATGCGTCTTATACATACTGCCACACGTTTCTGTAGTCGTCGATGAATGCTTCCTTAACTGACTAAATATTTTTTTCGCCATCTCAGTCGAAGTATTTGAACTCAGACTTGCGTGCAAGGAACTTTTCCTCGTTTCCTCACCAATTGATGAAGATATGCGAGGTACCCTGTACGAAGCTCCACGGGCCCTGGGTATTGGGCACTCACGATCACTATGCTGGGGCATTCTTGTACCGTGGCTTGTCTGTGAGTTGAGCATTTGGCGCCTTTGTATACGACCCTTATGGATAATTGCAGATGCGCTTTTTATTTCGCCACTATCCCCGTCCAGAACAAAGCTCTGGTTAAGCACTCCTTCACAACTTTTTGATCGGCTGCAAACATGCTGATGTCTAGCATCATCGATCGACTTTCGCACAACCCCGGCATCGTCAGTCTCCACCGTCCGCTCCAGCTCCACCGCAACAGCGGGGGCCCCTCCGTCTTCGAAGCGCTCGAAATCGGGAGTCCTCGCACGCTGGTAGTACACCTTCTTAGTTGTTCTGCCACCGGATTTTTCATCCGCCACATGCACACAAATCAATTCAGGTGCAATTTCGTCAGATTTGCCGGCAAGCTCTGATGTGCCACCTTTCTCCTCCTCAGTTCTGAGCTGTATCTTCGCCCTTGCATTGTCAACTCTTAACGAGTGTCTGCGTATATTGCGCTCACTCAAACGCCTTCTCAATCGTCGCACATCTGTTTCTCGCGCAATTACTTCGTCGTCTTCCTCTGGAGTCGGCATGAAAATCATCGAAGGTACGTCAGCGGGAGTATCGTCTTCCATTTCTCCCGTCTGGTTTGGTACGATACTACAATTGTGCTCAGCTTTGGATGTCATACGCATCAGGCCTTTAGCGCTGACGAAAGTTTTGATTGATGCTTGCTTCAAGCTACTTGTAGAGCTTGCCCGTCTTGCAAACCGTTTTAACATGTTCATACTCTTGGGCAAAAACCCTTCCATAGAATCATCCAATCTTTTATCCGACTCGCTAGCTCTCCGCTTACATAGTTGGTTGCTCCCGCCGTTACCGAAAGGACGAACAGGTAGGTCCTCCCAGCGTTTATCCACTGTATCCAATGATCGAGCTTCGTCTGAAGGATTTTGGCAAGATTGACCGGTAGATGGCGATACAGCAAGCCGCATCCTTGCAGTCTTCGCCCTGAGAGCCGTCGTGTCGCTTGCTCGTCTGCGCAAAGTGTTTCGTTGATGCCCATTCTCTTTTGTATTGGCTGCAAACGACGTATTTTGATACATCCCCGATACAGAGTTGTACATATCCGTCGGTTCATCTCCACCATATCCCAACGATCCTTTGTTATTATTTCTGCGCGTACAGTATGTGCTCGCGCGTCTTAATAAAGTTTTTCGAGGTTCAGTACTTGTGGGCATTCTGGGTTGAACGGGCCAACTGCGGCCCGCAGTAGGACTGTGAATAGTCATGGGAACAAATGATGTTTGTGACGATTGGTGATCATTTACAAATTTCTCCTGCCCATGCCTCATCAATGGTTTTCGTGATCTACTCTGTCCTAAGAATGGGTGGCTGTTACACTTCTGAATCTGGCTAGTGCTGTATGTTTGTGTTGTCGTATCGAATTGATCATCGGCAGAATTGCCAGCTGAAAACATGCTCGCATCTGAACATGTTTCGTTCGTGTGCTGTTGCACATACTGAGACATTGTAAAAGGTTGCCGTTGTACTTCATATTTCTCATCCCCGGGGCTGTCTACTCGTAAGTAATAATCTTCAATTGTCGGATCTAGCCCGTTCGCTTTCTTTGCCGACCTTGACATACACGACTCACTGGCTCGGCGATGTAATGGTCTTCTTCCCGTAGAAGAAGCAGATTCACCATACGTACAAAGTGTTCGTTCCATTCCAATTATAATCTTTCGATTTTTAACCATCGTCGTGCCTACATTGTCGCCATTCTCAAGATTAGAGTTTTCTCGTGGGAAGCTATCTAGTATGTCCAGAGAATTCGCTCTACTTCTGCCACGAAGTATTATGGCACGTTGAGACGATTCTTCACTCTCATCAGGCCACGCCGCACTCTTTTGTGGGGTCACCAGGGATGACAGACCACGTTCAGGTGCGTGCGCACGTTTAAAAATGTATTTTTTGTGAGTATTAGAAACTTGAGCGGCTGGTACCTTGCTCGCCTCGAAAGTAAATGTGGGTGAAACGAGCTCGCAATCATCATGTGCTTGTCTGTCTTCCAATTTACTATTCACATGAGATGTGTAATTGAAATCGTGCTGAGTGGACGGTTCTTTGAGTTGCTCATTGCCTTTGTCTAATTTGGCCAATAAAGTGCTTGTAAGGCCACTACTCGAACGCCGTATTCTGATCACGTCGTTTGTTTTGACAGCTGCGTATGCTCGAAATTCGTTCTGTCTCATTGCGGTAGTGTATGCAATATACGCTGACTGGGTGAGAGCTGTCTGGGCTCCAACCGGTCTGTAAGCGTCGCAGCTAACCTTTCTATCAGGCATCCTGTACACAATTAACTATACCCTTCGAAATGCCCGCTGCATTTAAAGGTACGCCATTTAAAAAAAATCAATACAAATGTTGCCGCATAGGACAGCCGCTAAAATTAACAGATCTCAGATTCTCTGGTGTGTAATATAAATATTCTTAAAAAAAAGGCAAAGTCTTGTAAATATTGAAGGCTATGTAAATATGGGCAGAGGAGGAGGAAAACGTATTGGTATTTTCTTATTAAACTAACCCAAAAACCAAAAACCCGACTAATTTGTTTTCTAAAAATAAATAAATACGCAAATAATGCACGAATAGTTTTATTTATTTTTACAAAACAAAACAAAGCATTCTTGTGTTTGTTTGTTGATATATAAATTGTGTTTGACTGTTTGTCTAATAAAAACGGTTTTTAAAAAACACATTTTTTTTGTACACTGTATTACAGTCAGACTCAATCAGTCGCACAATAAAATAAATATTCGTGTATAAATACGCACTGTACTTCTATATCTACAATTTTTTTACTTTATTGTTTTGTTGTGAATGTTTTATAATTTAGAAGGCTATGTCAGAGCCTCATAACGTTTTGCCATTTGTAAATAAACCGCTCAGCGTAAGACGTATATCTATATATTTATTTAGCCGTTTAGCGTTCTGTGCAAGTAATTTGACCTGATAATATTGCGCAGATATGACCTCCTTTTGTGTCAAATTAAGTTAGCGCGGTTAGTAAAAACTTGCACACTTGTCTATTTACAAAAAAATCAAAGCAATACAAAACACCCCTTACACACATAGTTATAGCCATAAAATATATTGTCTATGTACGTAACATGTGTTAGTAGTCGCTACAATCACGGAAAATATTCTACAGAATTGTACGGACAACTGCGCAGTGAACATAATTTGAGTCTGGGCCTCTGCTTCTCTGGGACTCTGGGAGTCCTACTAGGGTCTACTCTAGGGTAAGAACTTCTATATTATTTTAAAAAACAAAAAGAAGAAAAAAGTACTGCTGTGTGCTTTTGTTTTAAAACAAACCAAAAAGAAGAAGTATTTACACTGTACTATGTAGAGAGTACAGTTATAAATATTTAGTGTACTATGTAAATAGAACTGTAGAGCGTAGACTCTGTAGAGTCGTAAATACATATGTAGACTCTCTCACTTTTAGCTCTCTCTCAGAATCTCTCTAAATATTTACCAATGTATTTACTACTCAGTAGAGAGAACATACTGTGCACAACGGCATTTGTTGAATTTTGAGTTTAGAAAATCAAAATTCATAGATATTTGTGTTGGGTGGGATTTTTTTGTCTTTATTTTTATTAAAAATCAATGAGACAAAGTGACACTGTGCTGTAGTTCAGTCTGTGACGGCGCTCTGGGCCAAACCTCATTACGTTTTGGGCTAATATGCCTTATGACTATATTTAAATACTGATTACATTCTGAATAGAAGTTGAGTGGAACGAATATTATAATGCACGAATAGTTTTATTTATTTTTACAAAACAAAACAAAACATTCTTGTGTCTGTCTTCCAATTTACTATTCACAAGAGATGTGAAATTGAAATCGTGCCGAGTGGACGGTTCTTTGAGTTGCTCATTGCCTTTGTCTAATTTGGCCAATAAAGTGTTTGTAAGGCCACTACTCAAACGCCGTATTCTGATCACGTTTGTTTTGACAGCTGCGTATGCTCGAAATTCGTTCTGTCTCATTGCGGCAGTGTATGCAATGTACGCTGACTGGGTGAGAGCTGTCTGGGCTCCAAAAATAACTATACCCTTCGAAATGCCCGCTGCATTTAAAAGTACGCCATTTAAAAAAAAATCAATACAAATGTTGCCGTATAGGACAGCCGGAAAGCTAAAATTAACAGATCTCAGATTCTCTGGTGTGTAATATAAATATTCTTAAAAAAAGGCAAAGTCTTGTAAATATTTTAGAAGGCTATGTAAAGACACTGTGCTGTAGTTCAGTCTGTGACGGCGCTCTGGGCCAAACCTCATTACGTTTTTGGCTAATATACCTTATGACTATATTTAAACACTGATTACCAACTGAATAGAAGTTGAGTGGAACGCATATTGTATTACTTCAAAACAAAATAGGATTAACGTTTAAAAACAAATAGGTCTATACACCTAACAAAAGTATCAATTTTGCACTTGGTTCACACCCAAGTTGTTTTGTTGCCAAAATTGGGACAATATTGGTAACCTGATATGTATATGCACTTTAAAAGTCTCTACATATAGTTTCATAGGTCTATATCGAGTAAAAATGCATGGCTTCGCAGACTCAAATCCAGTGAGCCGTGAAAAAAGTAAAACGGAAAGTCCTACGGACTTGTCCGTTCTCCCTTACATTTTACACTACTATGGGTTCACGACGAAAACGATTATTTTTTTGGCTTTAACATAATATTCAATCTGAAAAATTAACGGGAAACGGCTTGAGGTGTGCACTTTGCATTTCTTTTTGTTTTTGTTTTTTTAAAACAAATGAAAGAAAAACAATAGTGTATGCAAATATGTAAATAAATACACCCAACGTATAGACAAAGTCGACTATCCTCATTATTTACGTTTCCCATTAAAACGCAAAAAAAAAAAAGCGTTTCTGTTCAAAGTTTATCTTAAATATAGTCCTAAGGGTTTACAAAGCGACCTATCTGTCCCGAATTGTCCTATTTTTCTCTTTGTGTCAGTAGTGAGTAATTCCAAATCGCCTTTTCATGAAAAAAGGTCAATTTCTCAGGTGCAAATTTAGAAAATTTTGATAGTCTATTTGCCCCCGATATACTTTAAAACGCTTACTTTTTGCGTTTACGTTTAAAGTTTATCGCGTAGAGGCAAAACTTATTGAGCTTAGCCTACGGACTTCAGTCCGTTCTGGTATGTATCTCTACTACTCTCTCTAGAGTAGCTAGAGAGTCTACTCTCTACTACATCTTACAGCAGAGAGTAGAGAGAGAGAGGACAGAGGCCAGAGGCCCGGCAGAAGGTCGTGCGACGCGCAGTCGTACACATTGTTAAAATGTTTAGAAAATTATTCTCAACCGAAATAACTTTAGTGTTGTACCAATTGATAATGTACAATTCTGGATTCGCAATCTACAAAATACTCTCTAACCTCAGGCCTCGAACTCTCGACCTAACCTCAATAGGTTAATTGTTATCACTTTATTTATCGAAAAGTTACCAATCAGAATCCAACGTTTATAACTGATAGGTATAGTCTGGTATACAATAAGTACTTTATCCAGGTCAAGGTGATATCAGAATACTCCCGCCACTTTGCCTATAATTTTCCACGATAGGACAATTTGTCGAGTGCACAGTTGAAAAATTTGACAATTGATTTGTCCCAAATAAAAGTTATAACTTTTATATTATCAAGAAGTTAACGATAAAAATCAAACGTTTACCTCGAGGCTCGTGGCCTCGTGCAGTCGTGCTCGTCTAACTTTCGACGCCCGAACTTCCGATTTGGCGATTTCCGTAGTCCAAAGCTATGACTAATGACAGCAGGCAGCAGCAGAGCAGCTATTTGTAAACTATGAATATCAGCAAGCTATAAAATAGATGATTATGATTTGGTCTCTATTACTTTTTATCTGTCACAAACTCCCAATACAATTAATTATTTGTAACAATACAATGGTAATTTGGTACATATTCACAATCCAGAAAATATGCAGAGTATTCAACTATTGATTGTTGTAGTAATGTAGTTCGGACTTCGGGGTATGGCACTGAGGTGATTTTAGGACAACGCACGAATCCACGGTCCTTTCCAGATGGAAATGAGACAGGACACTTTGTGATCCGAACATAAGTTTATACTTTAGACGGCCGTGGTGAACTCGGCCTTCATTTATTAAGTACATACGACATATTGTTTTGACATAAAAATATGTCGTACAATTGTAAATCAGTCTTACACTCCACACTTCAAGTCTCAACTTCAACTAAATATTCAAATAATCCTACACAACTTGACACACGAACTCTATTTTACGTCCACATCTATATGCACATGCTCACGCACGGTCATATAAAACTTTATCATATGTAGTAATTTTGCATCGATCATATACAGCCATATCTTCATCTGGTTATTAATATTAGCAAATATTTATACTTCATAATATAAGAGATGCAGCTACAATATGCTAGCATTTTATATATATATATATATATATATATATATATATATATATATATATATATGTGTGTGTTNGTATATATATATATATATATATATTGTGTGTGT